CCCCAAAACCCCAAAACCCCAAAACCCCAAAACCCCAAGAAAGAGGATAATTATCTTCCAAAATTATTTTATAAAGAATAAAATTCATGTCAATGCATCAAATCAAGAAGACTGTCCTCGGCCAGGTTTTCAAAGACAAAGTCATGTCTAAAATAGGGGTTAACACTAAGCATCAATATAACCACCTCAGAGGCAATGATGGCCATTATATTAAGCCTGATACTCCTGAGGAATACATCAAGGTTAAGTATAAGGATGGCAAGAAGGCTGATCCTAATGACTCTTCTATTACTAGCTCATCTGCTCCGGAGGAAGACACCCCGGAAGACCCCAAAACTCCAGCTAAGCAAGATACTAAAAAGGTATATTTTAACCCCTTTGGAAGCTTTGGAAGGTTATTAATTGTATTGACTTGTTTTTAGCAGGAAGAAGCCAAAACAGAAAGGAAGAAAGGTACATATAACTTAGTAAATCCTCCCATAACTCTTCTGGTTTGGAGGAGCGTCTTTTGAGCAAATTGAGATAAATTTTAGAGAGCCATCCAAGCTTGTTGAATCTGTAGTATACCACAGTTTTCAACTATGCTAAAGACGCAATATGAACTTTCTTCATATTCCCATAAGCTCATAAAACACAAAATATCTTGACTTCTCTTAAGCATAAATAAAAAACAACTAGTTTTATTCTAACCCCATTAAATCTCTCTAGTCATACGCAAGCCCAAATAAAATCACTCAAAAAGACGCATTTACCTATGAAAGTAACAACTCTGTTCACACCAAAATAGTAAAAAGACCCGAAAACAAGACAACAAAACGGTACAAATTCTCTTCTTCAGAAAGAGAGCCAACATTCCTCTACACTAGCAACCCTTACACCAAAACAAACGAGCAAATCCAGACTGAAAAATAAGAAGAAGAGAATCATTGAAGAAGTAGAGAAGGTAGCTCTCCCCCTCACCTTATAGTCAATCGCTGAGCAAGAACTTCTCGAGAACAAACAGTTTGAGCAGGACCAACTGAGACTGAAATCAATGATGAACCACCCTTTCGCGGATCAAAAGCAGATTCAGAGCATCAAAATAGAGAAGCCTAAAAAGAAGGTAAACCGCTCTATTTGATAATAACCTAGTCTAACCAAAAGAAGGAGATGCTTAAACTCAAAACTGAAGAACTCATCAATAAGCAGATTCATATATGAAACAGATTCAAACAACATATTCATAAATCGTCCAAGAAGAGAAATGAAGTTCGGAAACTTCTCAATGACAGTACTAATTCAAAAAGCCTCAATAAAGTATCCCTACGGACTGAACTTTAGAGCCTACAAAGATCCAAAAGTAAGAAAAGAAGCAAGAATCGGAGTCTAATAACTATCGAAAACCCTCTAAACATCAGAAAGGAAAGCGTCCCTACTCTTCAAGACTCATGCTTGGGAGATCTCAGGACGAGAAATGATGATAGCAGTATTTCGAAAAATAATAGCCAGAATGAGCATACTTCTAAACTTCCAGAACTTAATTTTACGAATTCACCGAATGGAAGAGATAGGTTGACCAACTCCAAAATATGTAATAGCATTTTGCCCGTAAGTAATCAGAATAGAAGTAGTGGTAAATATTTGAAGTTACAGACCATTAAATTATCCTGACCTCGCCTTGAACCATTAAAAATACTGATTATATTGAGCTCAAAGCACATTTGTTGTGTTTCCACACAATCAGGTCTTAAGGTTTACTGTATATAGTCTAACGATCCTAGTGATATTAACTATATAGAACACTCTCCCACACCATCGGCTGATAAGAGATCCAAAGCTAGACACTTTAGGCCCGTTTCAGTCTTTTGTAAAGAATTCTGGGCGAGAAGTAGCAGAGGAACTTTTCAAACAGAAGCATTTCTCCAATTCCACAATAGCTAATTCCAAATTTCCTTCATTCTCTTTTGCCAAACAAACAAGTAGGAAATCTCTGGTGAATCTGAAACAGAATCCCCATGAATCAAGATTCAACAATATAGACAGGTTCCCAAGTATTCTGAGTTCGAACAAGAAGACTAATTCCATTGTCAGCTGGGACAAGAGCAAGAAATCTATATCTAATAGAAGAAAATTCATTTCTAATGAATGGAATGTAAGTCAACCCTAACCAAAACAATTCTGCTTTCAGTGTTCATACATTTGTCCTTGAGTCAGGATTTTGGTAAAATACCTACTTGATACAATTGCAATGTACTTTTAGTGACTTCATTATGTGACATGATAGTCATTTTACCTCTGCCCTGACATGTCTTAAGCATCTGAATTACCCTTTTTATTTACAGAAGAAAAAGTCATATATTCACAAATACAAAAAGAAAGATCTTCTCAAGCAAAACGAATGCGATTTGGGCTCATTTTATCTAGAATAAATTCTAAATTTTCAAAATTTAGGCGGCCTATCGGGGTTTTGGGGTTTTGGGGTTTTGGGGTTTTGGGG